GCCCAGGCATGCTATAAATGGCTTCATTGACTCATGATATTAAATGTTTTTACACTGAAATTGGAAGATCATCCATCAGCAAACCATCCCATTTCACTTCCTCATCCTCTCAGTAATTCCTCATTTGAGGAACTAAGGATGAGCAAATCTTGCTAGTGTGGAAAGGATTAAAATTTGAGTAGTATCTGAAGGCCAGCCTCTGTTTATGGCTATGTGTACTGGGGAAGGTGGAAGAATCTGGACCTGAAGAAGAATCAGACTTATAAAATCCAGATGTACAAAGTAGATCAATTTGCCTATGATTATTCATCAACAAACAACAACAAAAAACCCAAATCACCTAGAATGTCGCAAATATGATTCACTTTACAACTTTACAGAGGCATATCTACTGGGTAAAGTTAGGTTAACTTTCAACTATTTGTTAATGGATTCTTGCCTTACTGAATTATAAACAACCCTGAAGGCTTTGGTCAAGCCCCAGAAAAGGGTCTGGATGAGAGTGAGATTTAATCTATGAGTGTGCCTAAGAGTCACCCTATGTGACTGGAGGATTAGCCACTTGAGTTTTTTTCCACCATCAGTGTTATTTATCATCTGTGCTTATTTTCCTCTCCATTGGCTCCAAAGCCTAAAAGTTAACTGCACATTCAGATGTAAACATTCTTTGCAAAAGAAGAAAAATTATTAGCCTAAATCCTTTAGTATTTGATTTTAATAGATAACAACCCCTAAATCTGCTGCTAATAAAATTAATACAGCAATGTCCTTTTTAAAATCATACTCCTAGTATAAATTGTGTCTGAACATTGGTGAAGCACTCTATTGTCCTTAACCCAGGCCCTGACTAAAAGCCCACATTGCCTCAAACCATTCACTCATGAATAATTAGAACTTGTACCTGTGTGTTTGTGTGTGTATGTGTATGTGTCTTGACATGTACTGTCATGCATGTGTTCATATGCATGTAATAATACAGACATGCAGTATAACAAAAATAGAAACAAACATCTTGAATGTGCATATAAAAGATAAGCAAATGTGCTTTAAAGGCCTCTTTATCTTCAAAATTTGATAGAATCAGTATGTACTATTTAACAGTTCCCTTTGGCAACTCTTCAGCCTTATACTGTGACTGAATCTCTTGGATGTCGCATCATCCAGAACATTCCTTGGAATGAGGGTGTCAGGATGTGGAGTTTCCTGACATCCTCGCTTTGATACAGTCTTGTACTTCCAGATTTGGGACTGTGACCTGCCCCTCTGATGATGAGCCATGACTCCCATTACCACTGTAGGGCCCCTGGTCACCAAGGTCAGATCTATTTGGAACTTCATATCTAGGTAGCTCCCCCTTCCCATAAGCTCTGCTTCCAGGAAGTCCTTGGGAACAGAGTTGGGCCCCTGGAGATGGGAAATTGTCCCTTGCCAAAGTGATGCTTTCAGTCAGTGACATAGGCCCTTTGGTCAGACTTAATAGAGAAGCGTACAGAGCTCATACTTCATAGAAAAAAAAAATTAAGCTAGAGCACAAAGAAAATAGTAATACTTTTGCTTTTAAAGCACTTTTTAAAAATGGGGGAAACAGTAGTTAAACCTCTGGAAAATATCTTCAGTCCACATGCAATATCTGTTTGCCTACATCTGTAAGATTTGGCTTGGAGTCCTTGCTGGACTCCAGCTCCAAAGTTAGGAGAGTAATGGATGATGGTGATGCTAAAGAAAGGAGCCACCTGCTGAGAGAGGAACATAAAAAGGAACAGAACCTAAGAAAACCTTACTTCTCTGCTTTTCCTTGGCTCTGATGGGCCCAGTTTCTGGAGTGGCAGTAAAAGATAAGGCCAGGGCTCGCTGGAGGGAAAATCATAAAGAAGTTAGTATCTGTGAAATTCTCCTACCTACCATTTCCTCTTCATTCTCTCCCCATTCCCATTCTCTGTCCCCTTTCCCACACCACAGGGAAGCTGCTTCAGTAGACCACTGTCCCAGAGGAGTTTGCATTTAAAAGGATACCCTTGAAGGCCAAAACCAAAGGGAATTCAGCTGTAATTTGGTGGGGGGCAAGGTATTCTTCATGTTCTAGGGCTCCTGGAATGTGTCTTCCCTGTATCTAGGCCAGGAAACAGAGGTCTGTTGCCCTAAAGGCTTTTCTTTAGGGCAACAGACTGACTTCTTTAGCATAAATACCCAGCTGTGAGCTGGGTCTAGTGCCAGCCAGGCACTCCAGGCTGTTAATCCCTGAGAGGCATCTACAGCTATGTTGGCACTCATTCCTCCCTTGAATGACTAAGCTTCAGGAAGGAGGCCCAGTTATGGCATCAGCAATTGTCCCAGAAATCCCAAGGGGTTTTATAAGACGACATACAACTCCAGTTTGGGGTTTAGGGTATAGGAATCTGCTAGAGAGGTGTGGCTAGAGAAACAAAAATCTGGCCTATCAGGAATGGTGGTTAGGGCCTTTGGAGGCAAGGCCAATGATGTCTAGCAACAAATGCTAAATGATCTGGTAGAACAGATTCTTTCTCAGAGCCTCCTCTGGCCTCTGTGGATGTCTGCACACACACAAACATCTCAAGCAAAAGGACCAAAGAAAGGTACTATTTCCAAAACCCCTAAGAATAAAATTAGAATTCTATTTGGAGCTGCCCCCGAACCCAGAACATATGCAAAAAGTCAGGACTCAATACAAAAGATCAAACTATAGAAGGACAAGGCATTTAAAATGCAGCAACAGAACTCAAGAGACAAGCTAACAGCCTACTTCCACCTTTCCTTGAGTTTGATTATTTTCATTCTGGACCCTGGAGCCTCACTCTTGTCACCTAATAGCTCTGTTAATTCAAATTTATTTTCTCAATTAGCTTTAAGATTGTTCAACGCTAGGTAACAAAAATGAATTCTTATTGTATTTTTCCAACAAGAGTAAGGGCCAGATAATATCATTATAAAACATCACACTGATTTTTAAACAGACCGCAAAATAGACTTAATTTAAATTCTACTATATGACTAATTCTAATTCTGCTATATGTATCCTCATTTTCTTACCATATTTAATGACTCAGTACTAAAGCTCTGTTTTAAAATATATATATTTCTGGCAAGTAAATACTGTAAAAAAATTCATTTGCCACTTACAGTGACCCCTTGAAGTGTGATTTGCCCATCAAAGTTTACTTTGTCTACATGGTCCCAGATAAAATAGTCAGTATTGTTTCCCCAGGATGCCAGTGCCTTAGAGGCATTAATTCTCTTTTTACTCTCATTGTCAAGGGATCAGTTACTATTAATAAAAGGTCAGTTGGTCCATCTTGAGAACACAGTGGAAACAGATTTAATAGTTTTCCTTCCCAAGACTAGACGTTAACTACCTAAAACATAATCAACAACAGGATGCCAGGATGCCAGTCAATGAGTGTACTTTTTACTTTGTGTCTGGGGAGTTTAGGTGCCTCCAATTTAATAGGGGCCACGGTGCTAGTTATCAAATTGACAGTCTTGACCTGACCTCTAAAAGTGGCTGTAAAACGATGCCTAGTAAATTAAGATAAATGCCAAATCCCTCTGAGCAAACAGCCCTATATCATTACTATGAAATGGGCATTTGGGTTTGAGGCCAGGACTTCACAATAAGAATATAAATACCAGCCTGGGCACAAGGGAAGATGTGTGCTTAGTTATTGTACACACAAGATAACAGTGACTCACTTCATTCAGCATTATGCTTGGCTGGAGATTTTAAATTTCTTTTTAAAAACAAGACTATTGTACCACAGGGTAAAGATTTTATTAACCTCAGTAATAGGATTTGAATATGCCAAGGCGTGGAAGCAGAAAATTAGATCTGCTGATCCCATTGCCAAGACAGGGGTTATGGAAAGCTGCCATGGATCACTTGGGTGGGCTTTCCAATGTTTCAGACACCTGAAAACCCAGGAAGGTGCAGCAGTGAAGTGTCTAGCACCTACAAGAAGAGGAAGTAGAAGTTGTGCTAGACCAGGTCCCAGGCAGAATGGAGTCAGAACAAGGGCACTTAGTTTACCTCTGCTATTCCAGTTTTGCAGGAATACTAACCAGGGAGGCAAAGGCACTAAGAAGTTAAGGAAAGAAGGTTACTGACCTGGCTCTTGCCCACAGAGGCCACTGCCAAATAAATAGTGCAGAGAAGCCAGCAAGCAGAGTCATTATGAAATGTTATCTATGGACAACCAAAATTGGTCAAACAGATCCCTAAAGACGAAATACAAGTCATAAACCTTCATCCTGAATTCTAATTTTTGTCAATAGCCAAAAGAGTTCATATGAATCTTGTTCCATCTATATTTTCTCCCATGTTTCTTCTTCACTCAAACTTGTTCCTACTTATTTTGCTTCCTTCTTTCTCAGATTTATTGCTTCCTGCCCTGATATTTGGGGAAGCAAAAAAAAAAAAAGAGGCTGTGATTTAGTTTCCTGTCAAGACTCAAATTAAATACATTGCCTCTTTCTCACTAAAGGCCTCCACTTGGCCAATTTTAAATAAGGTGACAGGACGTTAACTCAGAACTCTCTGCCCACTGCCTTCCTCTGTAGTGACCCCCAGCCAAACCTATGGGGATGGAAAGCAAAATGATGAGTGTCCAGACATCTTCTCTGGAGCATTCCATCAACCAAACTGTACCAAAAACCCTAAGCTATCAATGTATATAATCCCCAAGAGACATAGGCATAAGTCTACTCATCTTTCTATAGGCAAAAAAGTTCATTCAGCTTTCTTAAGCCAGAAAAGAGCAAGATCTTTGCTCCTCTAGCTGCCCTTTACTATCCATTAACATTTATCATTCACCAAAACACGAGTCTATCTCCCTATAGGAGAAATAATTGGCATTTACAAACCCGTCACCACTAGGGCTGATTATATTTCCCTTGACCCAGTCAACCCTCATGATCAAGTTGGTTCCCCTCTTAAAAAAAAGATTATTTCTTTAAACTTTTGTTCTGATCTTTTTCTGCCCTCTCAGGTCATGGATTATATGGGACCTTTGAAATGTTATCCTCCTGGAGGAAAACTAGAGAAGACCAACATGTTAAAGAGAGAACTGCAGCAGTCTATGCGGACTCCATGCTCTCCTTTTCTCTCACCACTGCCATGTACTTGGTCACCTTTGGCATAGGGGCCAGCCCTTTCACAAACATTGAGGCAGCCAGGATTTTCTGCTGCAATTCCTGTATTGCAATCCTCTTCAACTACCTCTATGTACTCTCGTTTTATGGTTCCAGCCTGGTGTTCACTGGCTACATAGAAAACAATTACCAGCATAGTATCTTCTGTAGAAAAGTCCCAAAGCCTGAGGTATTGCAGGAGAAGCCAGCATGGTACAGGTTTCTCCTGACGGCCAGATTCAGTGAGGACACAGCTGAAGGTGAGGAAGCGAACACTTACGAGAGTCACCTATTGGTATGTTTCCTCAAACGCTATTACTGTGACTGGATAACCAACACCTATGTCAAGCCTTTTGTAGTTCTCTTTTACCTTATTTATATTTCCTTTGCCTTAATGGGCTATCTGCAGGTCAGTGAAGGGTCAGACCTCAGTAACATCGTAGCAACTGCGACGCAAACCATTGAGTACACTACTGCCCAGCAAAAGTACTTTAGCAACTACAGTCCTGTGATTGGGTTTTACATATATGAGTCCATAGAATACTGGAACACTAGTGTCCAAGAAGATGTTCTAGAATACACGAAGGGGTTTGTGCGGATATCCTGGTTTGAGAGCTATTTAAATTACCTTCGGAAACTCAATGTATCCACTGGCTTGCCTAAGAAAAATTTCACAGACATGTTGAGGAATTCCTTCCTGAAAGCCCCCCAATTTTCACATTTTCAAGAGGACATCATCTTCTCTAAAAAGTACAATAATGAGGTCGATGTAGTGGCCTCCAGAATGTTTCTGGTGGCCAAGACCATGGAAACAAACAGAGAAGAACTCTATAATCTCTTGGAAACTCTGAGAAGACTTTCTGTCACCTCCAAGGTGAAGTTCATCGTCTTCAATCCATCCTTTGTGTTCATGGATCGATATGCCTCCTCTCTGGGAGCCCCGCTGCACAACTCCTGCATCAGTGCTTTGTTCCTGCTATTCTTCTCAGCATTCCTGGTGGCAGATTCTCTGATTAATGTCTGGATCACTCTAACCGTTGTGTCCGTGGAGTTTGGAGTGATAGGTTTCATGACATTATGGAAAGTAGAACTGGACTGCATTTCTGTGCTATGCTTAATTTATGGAATTAATTACACAATTGACAATTGTGCTCCACTGTTATCCACATTTGTTCTGGGCAAGGATTTTACAAGAACTAAATGGGTAAAAAATTCCCTGGAAGTGCATGGGGTAGCTATTTTACAGAGTTACCTCTGCTATATTGTTGGTCTGATTCCTCTTGCAGCTGTGCCTTCAAATCTGACCTGTACACTGTTCAGGTGCTTGTTTTTAATAGCATTTGTCACCTTCTTTCACTGCTTTGCCATTTTACCTGTGATACTGACTTTCCTGCCACCCTCTAAGAAAAAAAGGAAAGAGAAGAAAAATCCTGAAAACAGGGAGGAAATTGAGTGTGTAGAAATGGTGGATATTGATAGTACCCGAGTGGTTGACCAAATTACAACAGTGTGATAGTGTCTGCTTGGTATATTTGCACCTTAGGTCTTATCAAGAGCAAGGAGGTTATATTAATGAAACAATTAAATTCAAATTTGTTCCTTTTTTAAAGGATACTAAACAGGCATTGCCAAAAGAATAAAAGGAAAAAACAAGGAGGGAAGGTGGGAATGGCATATTTTCAATCTTTAAAACAAAAGATTGTTATGAGAATTTACACACATACAGAGAGATTTTTAGGAGACTCACAGTCTCTTAAACTAAGATCAAATAGAAGAAAGCTTATTAACAAGCAGGATCCTATTTTATCCACACTACAGATAATGCTGGTATTGTGACAAAACCTACTGATTGAAGGGTCAACTGCAAAGGCAGAAATAGCTTTAAACATTGTTCAAACAATAAGGCTTCCAGAATGCCTGCACAGCAGTAGTTCCAGTCATGGTCTGTGGTTTGAAGTCCTAGCCACCTCACCTAGCTCCCTGCCACCCAAGGACACATTTGTGAAAGTTCTGACCAGCAAAAAGCAAGCCAGAGCCTTGAAAACAGACATGTGATAGGGTGGCCATCACCCTTGGACTGAAATTGAGTTACCATTAAATTCACCCAGGTGAGGGAGTTTTGTTGTCTAGAATGAATTTATAATATTCCCCCATTGGTATACTTTTAACATTTGTATAGTTTGGTTAATACACCTTGAAACCAATGACAGCTCCAGCATTGCAGACTTGGTGTGATTATATTTTGTAATAGCTTGTCGCTTGTCACCAAATAAGCCTGCTTTATTAGTAACAAACAGCTCTCGGCAGGAGGGACAGAGGACCCAAAACCACACAGCCAAATCCAAATACCTGGCATGACAGAGGAAAAGTAGGTGTATACTTAACCCAAACACAGTGTCTCTATTTTGACAAAAACAATAGCCAGCTGGTACAGCTGTTTGTGGTTTGGCCCAACATGCATTTTTTGCATGGATGCCCAGAAACATCTGCCCGCATATAGTTGAGGAAAGAAAAATGAACGCTGAAATAGTTATTTGCTATAGCTTCCAACTTGTAGTGCAAGTCTGCTTTTGCTTTGAGACATGCCTGTTCAGAGGCTTAAATGGGGAAGAGGGAAATATTTGGTAATTCGAAGTGCTAACACTGAGAATCTTTGTAGAAGTGCAGGGAGATGGCCCAAAAGGATATAGATTAGATGGAAATGGCTGGGGAAAGTAATCACCAATGCTAATCTATCAATGATAGCAGTCAAACTTTCCTGCTAAACTGGCTGCACCTCACCCTCTTTGTCCCCCTACACACCTTTTTTGGTGCTCCCTCTACTTCATCATAGCAAGACTCTTCTGTACATTAAGAAGCCTAGATGCTTATACTGTTGGCTTCTAGTGTCTATAGGGGGATGGTTCACAGATCGAAACAGAAATGGTTTGATCTGAAGAAGCTGTGTATGTTGCCCCAAATCCCACCCCCTGTATTTCTTTATTAAAAGTGAAGCTAAAGCCTGGTTACATTTGAAGCAGATATCTACAATATTTTTCCCTTTTAGAGATGTAGCTTATTTAGACATCTATAGTGGTAAGCATGTCCCAAAAGCATCTTACCTTTCTGGACCTTAGCAGACATACTGTGCAACTTCCTCATCCTCCACAGAGGAGGAAACTGAGACCTAGGAGAACAAAGTGACTCATTCAGGTCACACTACTGGAGGATTTCCATCATTTTAGCATGCCGAAGACAGGGCAGGCCAATTTTAGGTTTTCTTATAAGATGGCTATTACTCCCCTCAACGTATATTTCTAAGGAAGAAACCTAAGACATTATTGGCCACAGGGAAGACTTTTTTTAATGCCTGGGATTAAATTATGTGGGATTTAGGTTGGCCATTATCTTTTGAAACAACAAAAAAAGTCCAAATGATTCAGATGTAACCACACCAAGTGCAAACCTGTGCTTTCTATTTCATGTATTGTTGTCCACATAGTTCTAAATACATGTGCAGGAGATCATAGCTAGTGCATTACACACTTACTCAGTCTCCCCTGCAGACACACTAAACAATCATACCAACATGTTATGCACTCAACTAGATGATAATAAGCTTTAATCTGAGGACAAGTACAGTCCTCACAAAAGGGCAAGTTTGCATAATAGATACTCGATCAATTCTCTCCAAGGAGCCTGCAACTAGGCTATTATTTATAAAACACAACTGAAGAGGGGATTGGTCTTATTCTTAAATCACATGTTGTTAAATCATTTTCTGAACAGTGTGTTCTAAATCAGTCATTGATTTAGTGTCAACCACGTGGAGCACCTCAGCTTAAAGCGACTCCACAAAACTGACACAACACACACACCAATTAAATGGATTTTGTTGAGAATTTAATCATTCAATTTGGTCAACCAGGATGACTTACTGTGGAACTTTGTTCTATGACAGATAGTTTTCCAACTTGATTGAGTCTCTGTACACCCTGGGATATTGTATTTTTAAATGAAGAGCATTTTCAAACTTGTCAACTTCGCTTTTCAGCACTTGAAATTAAGGCTTATGGAATTCTGACTGAAATGAATTTTTCTATTGGGGGACTATGCATGCCAAGATTTATCATTTATTGTTCGATAATTATTATTTATTTGTTAATATTGATTATTGATTATTGCTCTGACAGCATTGGTTTAGCCCCACTATGGAGAAAACACTTTAGAAATAATTCAGAATCACCTCCTCATAAAATTTAAGTCTTTACTTCATCAAGTTTTACTTTTTGAATTGCTATAAAGAGGGAAGGAGTGATCCCAGCAAACACTTGAAGAAGTTTTTTTTTTTTTCTTTCCATTAATTCCAACCAAGACATTAATGTCCACTTTACCAAAGACACCTATTTGGTTGGTTTTGAGTTGGTATTTGTTGTTTACCAAAGAAAAATATTCCATTCATCAAAAATATTTCTCCTGGTCAACTAAAAAACCGTGATACTTGGGCTTTCTTGGCCATTCATAAGGAAAATGAAAATGTCAGGGTAAGGGTGATATTCTCTCATTTAGTGAAACTCAGCAGAAAATACAAATTCACAAGGAACTTGGGGTTTTTAAGAAAGAAAATGATACTTGAAATAGGGCATTATCGTTTAGTCCTACAGCAATGTTCCAATAAGTAGCATCCGGGCTCTTCAGGCTAAAAGAAATACAGTTTGTTCCAGAGAGAAAATAAGATAAACCCTCATGAAAATTCCTCTCCATTGTTCCAGCTCATAAATTTTGTTTTGTTTGGGGTTTGGGGTTTTGGGGGGGTTTTTTGTTGTTTGTTTTGCTTGGGTTTGGTTCGTGATTTTTGTTTGTCTGTGTTTGCTTGTTTTACTTCTGCCTTTCCTACCACTTATGCCCCCTCAATTTTCAGTCAGAAGTGAGATAATAAGATGCCATCCCCCATGGCCACAGTTCTTTATGCAATATACTGCTCTAAACAAGCCCCTTGGTAACCCTTTTGTTTTAACTAACCACTACCCAATTATAAGTGGCATTCTGAGACCACATGCCACCACTTTTCTCCAGCACCAGTGACAGAGCTTGGCTGTGTCCATCACAAGAACAGGTAGGATGGGCCTTGGGGGTGTGGCATGAGGCAAAGCCTTCTGAACACAAATGGTATGTTCCTCATAATGGCTTTATTACTTTGGATCCTATTAAAATACCCTTGCAGCTTGTATTAATAGTAGTGTTTGACTTCTGTAACTCTCTGTTTTCTCATCTGTAAAATGAGGATAATAACAGTAAATATCTTTAAATTCAACAAATACTGAGTGCCTAATATTTCCCAGATGCTGTTCTAGAGACTGGGGACAAAAGAGTGAACAAATCGGATTTTAAAAATCTGCCCTTGTAGAGCCTACGTTCGAGTGACATTGCAAGTTTACTGGGAGGATTGAGTGAGATGACATTTGGAAAGTACTCGTGGCAAGGCCTGACAAAGAGAAGAAACTCAAGACATTATTATTTTTAATTCATCAATTTCACACAGTAGCATTGGGGCTCGGGTTATAAAACTACAAAGAAGTAGATTTGGGTCCAAGATTAGGGCTATACAAAGATGAAATGAGTTGCTACAGAAGGTACTTAATTCCCAGTCATTTTAGGACATTCAAAATTAGGCTGGATTACCACTTAATGGGGCAACTGTAATGGTGGTGCAAACCTTGGATGTTGGGGTTAGACTATGATCTTTGAAAAAAGGATATACGTGCACTTGGGCTTGGGAGTAGGGGGACACATCACTGATAAATAACTATGCCTGGCTTGTCTGACGGAATCTGAACATTCCCTTTGCATAATCTGCTTTTAAGTTTGTGCTGAATAAAAAGCACCAGGTATTTGAGGACATAAAGTTACTATTTTTAAAAAGAATGTTAAAGCTGCAATACAAAGAAAAATGTTAAGTTAGTACTATAGTGGATTCGCTGGCAAAGAATTGGGAATGGATGCAGTCAACACATTGCAGAGTTCCTCCCTGTGGTGGTTACAACTGTTTATTTCTGTTTCATGCCAGTCCAGGAGAAAGCAAAGAGGAAAGTGAATGAGCTAGAATCTGTTCACCTGAATAAGCAGTGTCAGAATGTCCTCCCCAGCCTGCCTCTCACCTGCCCCCTTTCTGCCCAGGTGATCTGTTTGAAGTCCTCTTTGATATCTATGAGGGTATCATGCAAGGAAGAGGAAGTGAGGTGACCAGAGAGCTATGGCCTCTGCAGATTTTTGAGTTAGATTAAAATTAGCACCACCTGATTAGGAGCCTAGCTGGTGGGGAAAGAAGCCTTCTTTTCAAAATACAAAGAAAACAATGTGTACCAAGGAGGCAACCTGCAGAGAAACCTTGGTGGAAGGAGTGATGTTCCTGTGGAATCAGCTTCTTCTCCTTCCAGAATGTTGACACCAAATTAATGTTTGGATAGAATTAAGCCTACCCCCTTTTCTTTTCACATGAGAAAACTGAAATCTAGAGAAATGAAATTATATTCACAGAGCTAGTTAGAAGCAGATATGGGACTACAATTAAAGTCCATTTCCTAGCCCCAGTTCTTTCTCCATTCTTCCACTTTACTGCCAAATTCTATGTATCTAAATTATGAGGTCTTAACCTGAGGATCATTAATGAGTTGGTAGAAGGGGAAACTCTAAGCTCCCTAAAATTACATTATATGCAAAAACGTGTATATGTTCAGCATGTGAATTTCCCTGAAGAGAGAACTCATAGCTGTCATCAGATTCCAAAAGAAGTCTGTGACCTAAAAAGGGTGAAGAACCACTGTCCCAAATAAAGACCTCATTGGGAGTGTGATCCTGGTGTCCTCATTTTGGCTAATGGACAATCAAGAACATCTGAACCATCTTTTCTCCAAGGAGCCAAAAAATGCTTCCAAATATCAGTTTCTTTGTGCCAAACCAAGTGCCTACTTCTATTCATTTATTCTTCATTCGTTCCTTCATTCATCCGTGTGCTTATTTATTCTGCAAACGTATTTTCAATGCCAATTTATGTTCCAGCACCAGGTAAACGTGTTATCTAGGGCAGGACCAGGAAAGACCCCTCTGCATTGTGCTCTTGTTGGCAGAAGGAATACAAGGTTGCTACCACATTCTCACTGTTACAACAAAATATATATAGCCTCAGAATTACAGTAACCACCTCCCCCCACACATACACACACAGAGGGTTGCGGCCAACAAAGCCAACATGTAGAAGCATTCCCTGTCAAAGAACCAAGGGAATAGCAGCCTATTTCCGGGTTATATAGTCACATGCTGCTTTGCAGCATCATACCACATACTTGGAAGGGCTGCTCCCAAGTAAGCCCTACTCTGAGATGTCTACACCAGGCATGTTTGCACACACTTGTAGCAGCCTACTTGCAAACAAATGTGAAGAGAATAAATCTCATTTATCTTGATAATATTTGTAGTGGGCAAATAAGCAATCATGGCCATGGACGGATGGGTACATTTCAGGAAAAGTGTGTCTTGGACACAGATATTTAGAAGCCCAGTTCTCTTGACTCCTAAGCAGAAGCTAAATATAATAAAGATTGATGGAGGAAGTTGGAGAATAAATGACTGTACTGTAGCTGCTGGCTCTACTTTTTCTGGTATAACTTCAGCCACAAATGGAATCCACATGGGTTGAGGTAAGGGCAAAGCTGGGGGAATCACTGCTTGGCCTTCTCTGAAGCACAAAGGAGGCACGAACAGCTGATCAGTGCCACTTACATCATCTTTTGCCCTGCCATGATAATGGAAGCCTTCTATTGAAATAGAGGAATATTAGCTCCACTTTGTAGCATCTGATGTGAGGTTGGAGGACTTTGTTCATTGGGATCTACAAATTGCTTTGTCTAATTTCTACAAAATGGCAAAGACTCAATCCGTTTCCATTACCCACTCCAGGTTTATGCCTGAGAAAATTCATGAGATTCTCCTTGGCAAAACAGTATCCTTAATTTTCTAGGATGAACCTTGAACATGTTTGACTCAGCCTTTCAGATTTTTATTCTTTCAGTTAACATCCTGCCAAAACTGCCTTTGCCCACTGTTCCAGAATCACCAAGGCAGTTACCATAATGCCTCTCAGGGCTGTAGATGACTGGACAAAACTGCTAATGACCCACTGGCTCTGCTTCACACACACACACACACACACACACACATACATGCACATGTACACATGAACACATACACAGACATTATGTACACATATATGTGTATATAACACACCTATAGCAATTGGACACTCATATATACACATACACGTGTACACACACCTATAGCACAGACACATGTGTGCACACAAACATGCACACTACTTTTTACAATATGCCTGACACTTTTGAGGCACATTAAAACGTCTTGGCAGGCCCAGCCCTGTCGCTCTGTAGGGTTTGGCAGGCCAAGGGCTTCAACTGTCTGCAGAAAAACATTTTAAAAAAAGTTACCTTCCCCTTCTATGTTTCCTGTGCATGGGCACATCTGGAGCAGCCAAACAATTAGACTTTAAAAAAAAGAAACCTGGGTAAGTGAATGTGCCTTGCAACTTAAAAATTGCTAACTTATAGTTTCATAGTGGGAAAACTGTATTTGTTGGAATAGCAGAGACCCCAAACCACAGAGACCTCTCCCAAGGTCTGGAATTGTGAAATTTTATTTAGAATCTTTGCTTGGTGATCCAGAGAAGGGGAAAATGAGTGGGGAGGAAAGAGGAAGGACATACAGGGTAGAAATCTTAAGAAAGAGTGGGCATTTTCCATTTACCCTAGTATCAGTTTGATGAGAAAATCAGTATATGTCATCCACCTCAAGGAAAGAAGGTGCCATCCAGGAAAGCCTGGTGATAGGATACATCATTTTAGGAGAAAATCACACAACAAAAGAACTATCTAAGACCAGAAACTTATACCTAACACACACACCCACAACCCTCACACACATAAAGTTGGGAAGTGGACATTAAAAGGAGCCCTAGTGAAGTGCCCCCCAGAATTTAGGCATAGAGTGTCACAGGAAAAAAGTAATTATTGGGATGCTGAAAACAATCAAATCTGGCCGGGCGCTGTGGCTCACGCCTATAATCCTAGCCCTCTGGGAGGCCGAGGCGGGCGGATTGCTCAAGGTCAGGAGTTCAAAACCAGCCTGAGCAAGAGCGAGACCCCGTCTCTACTATAAATAGAAAGAAATTAATTGGCCAACTGATATATATAGAAAAAATTAGCCGGGCATGGTGGCGCATGCCTGTAGTCCCAGCTACTCGGGAGGCTGAGGCAGGAGGATCGCTTGAGCCCAGGAGTTTGAGGTTGCTGTGAGCTAGGCTGACGCCACGGCACTCACTCTAGCCTGGGTAACAAAGTGAGACTCTGTCTCAAAAAAAAAAAACAAAAAAAAAACAACAAAAAAAAAACAATCAAATCTGTGAGGAATGACTGACTATATGAGTTGAGAATAATGGAATTGTTTAGATTCTCTATAAGATAAAGATATAGAGAGTGAATCTGTACTTTTTTGAATAAAGTGAAAGGACCTCACATTTTCTTTTGAATTATTCACCCATAATTCTTCCTCAGTAACTTAGAATACAATCAGGTTCTCTACTATTCTTTATGATCCCATAATTCAATCACCCACTATTTGTTGTGGATTTATACTCTAGCTTAGAACACATGAGCAGAATTATTGAATGGTAGGCCCAAATGAGGAAATTTCAGCCTGGCTGTAGTAATTCCTTGGTCAAATTCTCTCATTTTTCTAAATGTCCAAATATTTCAAAGCTGTAAAAAGTACATCTATATAGCCAATGCATTTTGGTTTTTAACATTAAAGATAAATCTCTGCCAATAATTATTGACAAAATAGTCACATTAGTTAAATGTTCTTTTGAAATCCAATTTTAGTAGGTGGAGAAACAAAAGGGAATAGAGGATATAGCCAATATTTATAGTGATGTTGGAAAAGATCCTCACCCTAGACGTAAAATAGTTTAAATATTAAAATGTGACCCCTCTCCCATTGTCATTGCTAGTAAAAAGTTCCTGAGATTGCACATTATTTTTATAAAGTTTGGGGCTAGGCCGGGCGCGGTGGCTCACGCCTGTAATCCTAGCTCTCTGGGAGGCCGAGGCGGGCGGATTGCTCAAGGTCAGGAGTTCAAAAAACCAGCCTGAGCAAGAGCGAGACCCCGTCTCTACTATAAATAGAAAGAAACTAATTGGCCAACTGATATATATATAAAAAATTAGCCGGGCATGGTGGCGCATGCCTGTAGTCCCAGCTACTCAGGAGGCTGAGGCAGAAGGATCGCTCGAGCCCAGGAGTTTGAGGTTGCTGTGAGCTAGGCTGACGCCACGGCACTCACACTAGCCTGGACAACAAAGCGAGACTCTGTCTCAAAAAAAAAAAAAAAAAAAAAGTTTGGGGCTAAATCACAATAATTTTTAAAGCTGAAACCGTGGCAACAGATCATAAAACCACAGCTTCTCAATCAGAATAACTATTAATGCAGAAATCTTATCTATTTCTCAAAAAAAAAAAAATCCCCCATAGTTGTGTTGTGTTTCCCAGTATTTTAGTTGTGTTTCTTCACAGTAGGTAAATAAGTGATTTTGGTAATAATAAATTATTTTTAAATTAGTAAAAATATCCAAATGCTAGGTAGAGCATATTATTAGTTCAGCTTGGTCATTTTTGAGACAGATCAACATAAAACCATACTGGGAAAAATAATATAGTCAAACCCTGAGTTTGAGAAAGTGTGAGTCATATCACTTTTATCCATGACAGGCAGCTCCTGCTTAGGTGGAATTTAACCAAAACTTACCCAGAACAATTTCCCACAAAGGGTTAAAATACTTTCTAGCAAGAAGCATTAGTAAACTATAATTTTTACCTAAAGTCAAGAGACACGCACACCTTTTTTGGTGCCCCTCTAGTTCATCATAGCAAGGCCCTTCTGTATGCTAACAAGACTAGTTTATACTGCTGACAGGAGAATGGTTCATGGATCTAAACAGAAATGTTTGATCTGAAGAGGCTGTGTACACTGCCCCAAACTCCTGCATTTCTTTATAAAAATGAAGCTAATACCAGGCTACATTTGAGGCAAATGTCTACATTATTTTTCCTTATTAAACATGGTTAAAGAAAATCAGTGAAAAAAATGACCAACTCTTTCAGAAAAAAATGGCCTATATTTTATACTACTTGAGTTTCTCTGATGCCTAAAATATGTATTTACATCATCCCAAACATACACAGAAACAAAATCAGCAGGGAAAACCATCCTACTGATCATTGGCAATCCCACAGTTCCTCTCCATCTGACCAGCTTTCACCAGAGGGCAACATTTCATGCTTGCACATGGAGTTTATAGATTGTATAAACCCCCAAACCACTTACCACACTAAACCTGGGAAATGGCTCATGCCAAACACATAGAGTCCTTAGTTGACTATCTTTTCATATTAAAATCCCATCTTCTAATGAGGCATACTGTTTTCAATCTTGATATCAAATTTCAAATGTAAAGGAGATTTCAAACTTATTGCTTCCAGCTTTTCTTTTTCATTCATTTATTTTTAATTAACATATACAAATTGTATATATTTCTGGGATACAATGTGATGTTTTGATATATGTATGCATTGTGGAATGATTAAATCACACTAATTAATATGTGCATCACCTCACATACTTCACTTTTTTTACTTTCACTTTTTCAGACATGTTTCTAATCCTCTAACAGACACACACCAAAGAATACAATGGCAGTGTACAAGGGAAATATCTCCAGTTTGATT